AAAAAAAAAACTTGCTGATACCAGTATTCAAACATGTAAGAGTGAAACTTCAATAAAGCGTGTACAACGTATTTCATACCTCCCACCCCGCTTCATTCGTTCTTTAGCTCTTTTACAAGTCTATATTTCCCTTCTCTGCTATTATCTTTTAGTTTGACAATTTATGTTGCACTGATTTTAGGGCACTTTTGACGATAACTTAATAGTGAGCTTGAATGAGAGCCATTGGACATGAAAGCCGTGGAATGGTGAAACAAAATGTCAGGGTTCACAAACAAGGTATTGGCCAATAATAAAGAGACTATAGCTTTGATTTACCTGAATCACGGATTTTTAAACATATTTTGTGCTTTCTAATAATGTCTAATAAATGAATTAAAATGAATTTAGGTTGTACAGCCAAACAGTAAAGAAAACATATAAAAGCATTCAACGTTTTCATGCTAAAAGAAATCGGATTTACTCATGAAACTTTTAGCTATTGCCACTTCTCTTGTAGTAGCTGCTTCAATTGGTGTTGAAACAGTATCTGCCGCGGGTTACAGTTACGTCCACGGCGGTGCCAAAGGTACCTCACAAGCAACGCGTTACTGGGATTGCTGTAAGCCTTCTTGTGGTTGGAATGGTAAAGCCAAGGTTTCTTCTCCTGTTAGAACATGTGCCAAAAATGGTGTCAGTATTATCGGTAACAACGTTCAAAGTGGCTGTGCTGGTGGAGGTAGATTCATTCTTCAGTTAGACGTGTTTATTTCTCCTTTTTTTAATTCTTGCTTTTCCCTTTTGCTTAGGTGCCTTTGTCTGTAACAACAATCAACCTTGGGTTGTCAATAATAACCTCGCTTATGGTTTTGCTGCTGCTCGTATTCCTGGTGGTGGTGAAGATCGCTGGTGCTGTTCTTGCTTCGAACTTTCTTTCACCTCTACGGCTGCTAAGGGAAAGAAAATGGTTGTTCAAATTACCAACACTGGTTATGATGCCGGAACCGAAAAGGGTGCCCACTTTGATATACTCATGCCCGGTGGTGGTGTAGGCTTATACAATGGTTGCCAACCTCAATGGAATTCCCCTAGTGAAGGCTGGGGTGTCAGATACGGTGGTGTCTGGAACGCTGACATGTGTAAGCAATTGCCTGCTCAACTTCGCAAAGGTTGTGAATGGCGATTTGGCTGGTTTAAGGGTGCGGATAACCCTAACCTCGTTTACAGAGAAGTCACTTGTCCCAAGGAAATCACAAATGTCAGTGGCTGCAGAAGATTGTAATAGCAATCTACATTGGTCCATCTTTTTCTCGTCTGAAATAAAATATACCTATTGTTTTAGTGCTTTGTTCTCTAAAGCCATTGATTTTAATTATTCATCTATTGCCTCAGATCATATACTTGGGGTGCCCATAATATTGACGTCAAGTAATGACCATTGCGAATACTCTTATCGTTTCCCTTTTAATGGCTATCCTCATTCACATTAGCTTTTTTTTCAAATCAGTAGGTGCATTAAGCTTTTCTACTATAACATACTGTCATATTCAGATCTTATACTTGCATCTGATATAATTACTCGCCCTACGTTGTTAGTGACAGGTTTGAAGCACGTTTACTTCAGCTCTCGGGGAAACTCATTCACTCATGGGTGCACATGAATGCTAACTCAGATTGAAGAAAAAGAATGACTCACGGCGTACACCAGCTTCAATTTTTGGTTTATTTGATTTCTAATACATGCTTCGGTTCGGCCATATTGTTTCTGCAACCGGGAGAGTAGTTCTCTATAAAGAAAGAATATGCCTTCCAGGTTAGGGCCATTTTTTTGACTGTAATTACTCAATTAAGTTAGCATCGTTAGATGCCCAAGTGTAACAGAATCCCTTTCGTAAATACAAACGCCATAAAAAAAGAAAGATTATTCCGAGTACAGCAATTCAATGAAGGCTTATTAATCTTGAGCTTTTGTTCGTTTTATTGTATTTCAAAAAAAAAGAGGAGAGGGAAGGATTCGTGTATGTGGGAGACCTAATTTATAAAGAATGACAATGTCGTTTTCTGTACATCTGACTGACAACTTTCCACATGGCGCCGCTTTTATCCTAATACCCTTTTTGCATGTGGTGTTTATTTTCAGCAAATTGCACAAAAGGAGTTTTGCTTGCGAATAAATGTCGATTAGCAGTAGATAAACTGTCATCATTATATTTTATTATTTAGTATACAATAAAGAAAGCCATTAGAGCCATTATTCTGTAATTCAGAATATAGAATATATTTGCTCCCTGTTTCTTGCTGAGCATTATCCTCAGTGCACAAACGGAATTTAAATGGATTTACTATTTTTAATAAAATCACTGCCAAAAAGAATCGTTTTATTTTTGTTTTCTTTCTTCTTTTTTTCTTTTACACAAACAAAAAAAAAAAAAGATGACTTTAGCCACAAAGCTAAAGGGTCTTCCTTATAAATGGAGACAAGTGGCTCTAGGATGTACCATTTTTAGTTTCATCTATATCACCTTTTATTATGCGTTACAGGAATATGAATATATAGAGCCTACAATTGAATCAACTAGAGAAGAATTCTACTTTACTACAAATATCCCGCCATCACCATTAGCAAAGACTTTGACAATGACACAGAGAACGTATGGATATGACAATTTTGAATCGAGACTGCCACAGATACAGACCAATTTTGGCAGCGAATCAGCATCAGAAAAAAAGATCAGGGAAGAAAGAGCAAGTGCTGTCAAAAAAGCATTTATGCACGGATGGACTGGCTACAAGACCCACGCTCTTGGTCACGACGAATTAAAGCCATTGACAGAAGAACCTCATAATCCATTTGGTGGTATGGGCGCCACGCTGGTGGATAGTCTTGGTACTATGATTATAATGGAATTACATGATGAGTTTGATCAAGTCATTGCTGAAGTTGAAAAGATTAACTTTTATGTGGATAAAGAATTGAGCGTATTTGAGACAACGATTCGATACCTCGGTGGTTTGTTAAGTGCATACGAACTGACAGATCATCCCAAGAAGCATATCCTACTGGAAAAGGCAAAGGAGCTGGGTGAAGCGTTACTGCCTGCATTTGATACTAGACTTGGTATTCCTTATTACAAGTTTAATCCAGTAACGTAAGCAATTCGCTTCTTTTTATTGTGATCTTTATTTAATTACGATGTATTAGTCAAATGGGTAACGATAATTCGACATTGCTAGCAGATATGGCAAGTCTTCAATTGGAATTCTTTACGTTATCTCACTATACAGAAAACCCTATCTTTGCGAAAAAGGTAAGAATGCTTTTGTATCATGTATACATATGGCTTACATCGTTAAATTAGGCTCAAGCGATCACAGATTTCTTGGATTCTGCTGGATATGCTCACGGGGTCAGATTACCAGGATTATACCCAAACGAAGTCGACCTTGACTCTGGTTATTTTACAGATAGTAAGTAGAGTATTGTACGTATTAATTATGAGATAGCTCATGATTATATATGTTAGCCATTGCTAGTTTTGGGGCTATGGGAGATAGCGCATACGAGGTAAGGTTTGCTTCTATGTTTTATCCCAGCTTTTTGCTTACATGTTTCTTTTTTAAAAAAGTATTTCTTGAAAGAATATATCCTGACTGATGGAAGTATACCACAATATGCTAGAATGTGTAAGATAGCGACCTGTAAAAAAAAAGAGAGGAATTACTTATGACTTTTTCTGTCATAGATTTACAATCCATCGATAGCATGAAGCAGTATATGCTCATGCAGTTACCCGGAACAAAGTTTCTATACTTGCCTGCGTACGACACTGCAAGAAATCTAAAAGAGCCTACAATGGATCATCTTGTAAGAAAAAAGCATTACTTTTTTTTTTTTTATTTACAAATGTGTTTTTCTTTGCAGACATGCTTTGTTCCTGGTATGCTTGCCATCGGATCTAGAATTTTTAACCGACCTGACGATATCAAAGCTGCTAAAGGACTATTGGAAACCTGTGTTTATATGTACCGATCCTCTGCAACAGGATTAGCGCCAGAATCATGGATCTTCCCTGATCAGATACCTTATAATCCCTTGACTTATGGCAAAAGCCTCGAAGAATTAGAACAGTTACCACCTAGACGACGATACAGATGGCCAGGGAAGAAAAATACACCTGTTGCAGTAAATGTGACAGTCGAGGTTCCCAATCGAACTAACCGTACGCTTGATCCGCCCATCGAAAGGCCTTCTGGGTTATATGCGCGAGATTATCGCTACTTGCTGCGTCCGGAGACAGTAGAAAGTTTATTTATACTCTATAGGATTACTGGAGATCCCCGATATCAGGAATATGGCTGGGAAATATTTAAGGCTATAGAAGAACGCTGTAGAACGCCTGTTGCATATGCAGCAGTGAGAAACGTGAGCCACTTGGGTAAAGGCTACCGTTTGAATCAAATAGATAGCATGGAAAGGTAAGAGCTATAATAATATCAATAAGCATCATACCTAAAACTTGCCTTGTGTGTAGCTTTCTGTTTGCAGAGACGTTTAAGTATTTGTACTTGTTATTCAGTCCTCCAGAGATGATATCACTGGACAAATTTGTATTTACTACTGAGGCTCATCCTCTTCTTCGACGCCCTTGGACAGATACTTTTATTGAATATAAAGCTTAATTATAATAAAAGTATATTTATTTCTTTTCAAGCACTTTTAATGTTCCATTCGGCAACATTTCACCAAGGTACCCAGTCGTGAACCAACCGTCTGAATCAATCACGTCAGAGGTTGCTTGCTCATCCTTGTAGTATTCCGCAAATACATTATTTCCACGAACCCAAATTTCTCCACGAGGATTAGGCTTATCTTCTGCTGTCAATGCACGTTCTGGTTGATCCACCAATTTAATCTCATTACATGGTAAGGGCGCACCTCTAGCTTCAGGCAAGGCATTATAATCAAAAAACATAGAGGCAGTAATAGAAGAAGACGTCTCTGGCAAGTTGAAAGTTTGAATCACTTGAGTGCTTAAAACAATTCTCAAGAAGGTAGCCAAGGTTGGATCAGAGTTATCGTCTATATCCTATTATGAATAAAATAATGATAGCTATTGTCATTTTATATACATACCGTTGTCAATGTAAATCAACCGCAAGTTTCCTCCAAACATAGTTTGTCGAATATTTCTAAATACTAACATATCATATTTGCAATCATTCACTAATCGACTTTCTTCAAGATATTCTTTCTTTGCATCGTATCCACGCTTATACAAAAATGACTTTCCATAGCGGGACTCAATGAGATGTCTTACTTGTCCTAATAACCAAGAGTTGCTAGATAGAAAATTAATACACTTCGTTTCTCTTATATGTTTACTCCTTACCTGACAAAGATAGTTGGCTTATGCTGAGGTATCATAGAAAGATAAGATAGAATGTCAGCATCGTTTGAATCGGTTGACTGAGATCCAAATACGATAGAACCTCCAGCAAAACTGATTACTGCTGTCAAGACGTATCTCAAGACATTATCTATACAAATTATTAGATACAAAAGTCGAGTATACTTTTGCAATAGTATACCTATAGATAGGTTCACCATTAAGCGATCTTTTGATGAAAATCTTTGTGCTGGAGGAACAATTGATAGATATGATGCTAAAAAAAAGTGTTATACATTATGCATAGATGCCTGTTGGCTCATACAAAACTTACAGATGCTTGATAGCAAGTTTTTATGGGTCAATACAACGCCATGCTTGGACTATTGCAAAAAGTAAGTATAGACTGCATAGACGCATTTACAGTACAGCTTACTTTTTCGTTTGCTGAGCTAAAGTAAATGCTTGCAATATCATTAGGAACTAGTAGAATCTTTCAGTATCCATTTGATTAGTAAGCAGCGCTGCCATCTTACCAACTTGGACATCATCATAGCTCTCATCGGCTCCTCTTTGCTCCAATTCATTAAATGTTATCAGTTCAATTCCGGCTTTTACGGCTTTATCTTTATCTGCTTCAGATATATTGCCGACAACAACAATATGCTTCAAAGTGGGGATGTCGCTCACGTGAATCAAAACCTCGCGCAGATGACTTTCAACTGTTACCAATACTCTCAATTTAGTTTTTTCGAGAATATGAGAGAGATACGAAGCTAGGATTGGCACAGTGACAAGCCCATGCATATGGCAGGCTACCCCATCGTAGGAATTAGTTAAACATGATACATGATCAATATCATTTGACTTTTTATACCTATTTCTGTCAACACAGTGTCTTTAAATGCTATATTAGTATCCTCTTTCCAATATGATATAAAGCCACTTACGATAAGAGTTGTTAGCGTAGATACCAACAAATGAGCTTTCATCCTTTGATTGAGGAACGAGTTTGGCTACTGAGCGAAGACCTTGATAGACGCGCTCAACTTTTGATCTAATTGTCTCTATACATGAGTATAGTTAGCTCTTACAGTGCCTTAATTGTACTATTTACAACAAGTCCTACCATAGGAAGTCTATAAGGTCATATTAGTATATCTCTCTTTATATTAAAACAAATTGACTTACATATCCACCCTCTTGCTCTAAAAAGTCAGCGTTGCCATGCTTCTTGAAGCCACCTTCCTTATAAAAATCAGCCAGAGTACGAATACTTCGCTCAAATGTGGAGCACAAAGGTGAATTCATGGGATACATTCTCGAACGATAAATGGCGCTTTCTCCAGGATGGCGAAGGCGAGAGACATCCGATTGTGTATTGAGTAATAAAGGGTGAATATCAGATGATTTTGAATTACGAGCAGAGAGTAAAGCAGCAGCGCCTACGATACTTGCTAATAGTGTATAACTTAACGTATCTAACTCAAAGGTCATAATTTTTGTCTACTTTAAAAGAAAGTTGCATTGAACAACAAAAAAAGGTCAAAGTTTATGACCAAACATTCAAGCGCCGACCGGAAAATGGGCTAGAAGCGATGAGCAAAGAAAATGCGACAAATACCACTGCACTGATTTCCGAATGAATTACGCGATTAATTACGGTACAGTAAATGCTCTTATAGGGGTGGGATAATCACAAAGCTCGGCTATTTTAGGCGCAGTATATAATGAGTACAGCTGCAAAATTTCTCTGCACAGGATGCTCAAAAATTGGTGAAAAATTAATGCGTCCACTGCGTCGCAGTGCAAGGATAACCTTGATTTATGATATGGTACCATGCTGAGTTTGTGAATTGTGCCTAGTGTCTTTCAAATGTCCCTGAGTGCCTCTTTGGCATAAGTAAGGGAAAGCAAAGTTATCCGTTGCGATGCCTTTCCTGTAAAATATAGAGAGACATACGACTATATTGCTGGTTATTGTCCCAGTTTGCTTGAAGAGAACTATCCGTTTGAAAAGAGTAAGCCATCCTGAGAGAGATTACTTGGTTGGTATGACTTGCTGTGCGTGATAGGTGACGGTTCAGTTGCTCAAGTATGTGGTAGCAGATGTATAAACAATGTATCATAGTGTATAGTTTTCTCTGAATTAAACGTACTTGTTGTAGTGTAGATTGAATGAGTAAAGCCAGGTAGCATAGTCAGATCAATTGTGCTGTGTAACATATAGAGCCTTTTACAACATTTTAAACTAGGTCACTCCGAAAAGATATACACATGTCTTTAACCCAAAGAAAGAGAAAGAGAAAGGAACAAAGAATATATCTTTATACAATACGCCTATCAATAGCACATTAGACAAGATAGCCTCCTCATTCTTTTAAGAGTCTGTAAGGGAGCGTTGTATGTCATTTCTAACATGTAAAAAAGAAAAAAACGTGCTATTGTTGAGTTATTGTTTAGTAACGAAATTTTTACCTTTCATTGGATAAATTGTATCTCCATGGAAATTGAGGGTTGCAATCCATAACAAAAAAAGGAATAATAAAAGCCACGAAGGGATCTTATTGGGTCTATGAGATAGGCTGTTTAAAATAAAAAAATCAATGTCAAGCTCAGCTTTTCTCTCTTTTTTTTTTATTTTATTTTATTTAACAAACAAAAGAATAGAATGTCAAATCCTCCAACAAGGACTGTTCGACTGACAGTCATTGCAGCAGATGGTCTTCTCAAGAAAGACCTATTTTTCAAGTTACCTGATCCTTTTGGTATATGAATACATATAATATACATATAGATAGTGTCATAACATATATTATTAGCTGTTGTAACTGTAGACGGAGAACAGACACATACAACCACAGTTATGAAGAAAACATTAAATCCATATTGGAATGAAAGTTTTGATTTGTAAGATATTTTTTTTTTTGATAGTCAAAAATATAAGAGGGGCTCATTATCTATTGCAGACAAGTAACAAATAACAGTGTCATTGCTGTCCAAGTGTTTGATCAAAAGAAGTTTAAAAAGAAGGACCAAGGATTTCTTGGAGTCATTAATATACAAGTATCCAGTGTTTTTGATATAGAGACTGGAGGAGATGGTATTTACACAAGAAAGGCGTTATTGAGAGCTATTTTTAACTTTGACCGAATATAGAAATGTTAACCTTGGACTTAAAAAAATCAAATAATCATGATACAATTCAAGGAAAGCTTATTTTAAACCTCTCTACAAATGTCAATGCTCCTATTCGAAATGGAACAAATACCCTTGCATCAGGCTCTTCTAGTCATAATGTTTCTTCATCTGTCAACACTCAGCAGCAAGCATCAACTACAGTAGCAGCAACAGCATCATCTAGTAATAACAGTAGCAATAATAATACCACAACCACAGCATCCACAGCAGAACAAGATAATGACTTACCCGAAGGGTAAATCATCTGAAGGGGGTGACATGATTTGAATTAGTATTAAAAAAATTTGTATTTAGTTGGGAGCGAAGAATAGATCACTTGGGTAGACCTTATTATGTGGACCATAACACAAGAACGACAACGTGGAAGCGACCTTCGTAAATATTCAATATACATTACAAAACATTTTCAATTAACGCATTCATTAGTGCAAGGACCGCACAAGATCAACAAAATCAAACAGAATTAGAAAGACGTCGACATAATGCTCGAGGCCTTCCAGAAGAACGTTCAAATGCGGGAGGCAGTACAACTTCTCTTGACACAACCAGTCGTCCTCAGTCAGCACATTACTTTAGTGGACCTGGTAATAATCCTACTAGTAATCCTGGTCATGTCATTGGCGTTCAAAACAACATGACAACGGCAGGTTCAGGACCACTTCCTCCTGGTTGGGAAATGCGAACGACAGCAGAAGGACGTCCTTATTTTGTTGATCACAACACACGTACAACGACATGGGTAGATCCTCGTCGACAGCAGTATATCAACACTATCGGCCCTGGATCTAACCTACAAGTCCAAGTACAACCAGTCTCTCAGCTCGGACCACTCCCCTCTGGCTGGGAGATGAGATTGACGAGCACAGGTAGAGTTTATTTTGTGGACCATAATACAAAGACAACCACATGGGATGATCCTAGATTACCAAGTAGTCTCGATCAGAATGTACCACAGTATAAGCGAGATTTCCGTCGTAAGCTGATCTACTTCCGTTCTCAACCTGCACTTCGTCCTGTACCGGGTCAATGCCATATCAAGGTTCGTCGTGATCATATCTTTGAAGACGCCTATGCAGAAATTATGCGTCAAGTGCCTGCGGATCTCAAGAAACGATTGATGATCAAGTTTGATGGAGAAGATGGTCTCGACTATGGTGGCCTTTCTAGAGAATTCTTCTTTTTACTTTCACATGAAATGTTCAATCCATTCTATTGTCTCTTTGAATATTCTGCACACGACAATTATACACTTCAGATCAATCCTCACTCGGGCATCAATCCCGAACATTTGAATTACTTTAGATTTATCGGACGTGTTGTCGGTTTGGCCATCTTCCATCGCCGATTCCTGGATGCATTCTTTATTGTCTCCTTTTACAAGATGATTCTAAACAAGAAGGTCATGGTAGAAGATATGGAAAGTGTAGATGCTGACTTTTATAGAAGCTTAAAGTGGATACTGTAGGTGGATGGTTTATCTTATTTTCTGTTGCATTAACATTCTATATATAGTGAGAATGACATCACAGATATCCTTGACTTGACATTCTCGGTGGATGATGACCGATTTGGTGAAGTCGTTACTGTTGATCTCAAAGAAAATGGTAGAGACATTGAAGTGACAGAAGAAAACAAGAAAGAATATGTCGAGTAAGTTGAATAGGTGTAATCCAAGGCCCCTCATTGACTTCGTAGCCTGGTGACGGAATGGCGTATTTCTAAACGTGTTGAAGAACAATTCAAGGCATTCAAGGAAGGATTTAACCAATTGATTCCTCAAGACTTGATCAATGTCTTTGACGAGCGTGAGCTCGAGCTGCTGATTGGTGGTATTGCCGAGATTGATGTTGATGATTGGAAGAAGCATACAGATTATAGAGGTTATACTGAACAAGACGATGTCATTCAATGGTTCTGGAAGTGTATACGCAGTTGGGATAGCGAAAAGAAGTCTAGACTGTTACAATTCACCACAGGTACCTCACGTATTCCTGTAAATGGATTCAAGGATCTTCAGGGTAGTGATGGTCCAAGACGATTTACTATTGAAAAGGCTGGTGAGATTACACAGTTACCAAAAGCACATACATGGTAAGTAAAGAAAACAACAAGAATAACAAGATATTCATCTTTTTATATAGTTTTAATCGTATCGATATGCCACCTTATAAATCTTATGAAGCACTTGTAGCCAAACTAACGATGGCAGTTGAAGAAACAGTAGGCTTTGGTCAAGAATAAGTAATTATGTGTACATATCCCCCTCCATTATTTTAAATAAACCATTCCATTTACATAAAATATCATGTACATTGTTGTTGTATATTAGTTTTTTTAATTTTTGTACACAAAAGAATATAATAAATCAATCTATGCAGACAACATGATACCAATACCAAATTTACTTTGACCCTATTTATATTGTAAGTATATAAAGAAAAAGATAAACAATAGCAACAAACCTTCATATGATCCAAGTCACCACTGATGAGGAAAGAGAAACCAGGAGCCATCTTTTCTTCCAAGACAGCGGATACTCTACCTGTTGTATCAATCTGTCCTCTGAAAGTAGCTGCTCTAAAATCGAATTTGCCGCCTACAGTGGCAACAGCTTCTCTGCGACCACCTTGGGCCATCAAGTTAAGTTCGACACCAAAGTCAACCTTTTCATTAATACGTTGATAATAACTGGCTTGTATTGCTCCCATGCCTTGGAATTGTGCAGTCGCAATAAAGTCTTTACCAGTGTATTTACCAACTAATGACATGGCAGTCTCTTCCATGTCGCGTGTAGGACGCTGCAAGACGATTTCACTTCCTACTACCAAGCTTTGGGTGACAGATTGAAGGTAGGAAGCCATGTAGAGACCTGTCATCTCTAATGGATTGGCATTCATCGTCTTAAAGTTCAAAGAATAATCTGATCCATTTACTTCTTGCTCAAGTTGAACCATAGAATGACCAGGCATGTTGGTAAACTAATATACTTTTAATATTCATATACACATCGTTTGATATGCTTTCTCTACCTGTGCAACCACCTTGGTCACATATTTATTCGACCAAGCATGTCTGAAAACGCCGTTTAAGTTTGTATCGTTATCCATGGTACCTTGCAACATGGTCTAAAAAAAACTTTTTAGTCTAAAAATCCCTATTGTTGGATAGTCTTTTTTTTTCAGCGTGTTTGCTGTCTACCTTTTCGGTCATGTAGCCAGACATAAAGTTATACATGGGTGGCATAACTTGAGAGCCTAAAGAGAATTGATGTTGAACGTGGAAATTGGCAGAAAGTTCCTTGATAATGTTGGCTTGAGCACCGTCAAAGAGGTAAGCGGTAGTAAAGACCTCTATATGTTGTTTAGTCATGAATTATACATGCGCGCGTCATTTTCATAATTTTACCCTTGGTTACTTCGCCATGAAGTCTTTCAAATTTTCCGGGACTAGGCAAGTTTAAACGTCCTTTATGGTATGAGAACCAAGAGGGCCACTGAAGTGGATTCCAAGCAGATCCCGTAGGCTTTTGATCACCTTTAAGGCCAAAATTACCAGAAAGTGGGGTAAAAAGTCTAGGAGTTGCAGATGTAGCTTCTGGTGTTGCCATAGTTGACAGGTTTTTCTTTTAAATAAAGAGTGAGTGTGTGAGAGAGAGAGAAACAGAAAAAAAGTGGAGGGGGTTGGACTGCTGGTCTTTCGCTCATTCAAAATAAATTTTCAACAAGAATTGATTCGCTTAGCTTTCAAAAGCAGTCCACTAGTACCAACTGTCACCTTCACGCTATGAGTTTACAGTAGCTTTAGTTTAACAGCTAGACGCTGCCTTATAGACAGTCAATTAGATGGAAAGAGGGTATTGATACAGGGATTAAAGCAATGACAAACACAGTTAGTTCCATTTCAGCCTTATCGCTCAAGAGTCCCGTAACCAATAGAACTAACTCTTTTTCTCTCAAATTTTCTAGATAATCACATCTTCTTGTATGATTGTTTTTTTGCTGCTATAGGAATAGTCTTCTCAGTATGTGATTGTAGCTTGCACTGAATTCACTAGCAACATTGCTTGCTGAGAGAGAAATGGGTGCTCTTATCCAATCAAAGCTCCAAGCTTCAATCTACGTCATTGTCCGGTCCATAGCATGATAGTGTGCACTCTTGGTCGAACAGACCTTGATGCATAGTATGTGAGTATGACCAGAGCAATCCTCCCTCCCTTTTATATTATCCATCTAATATGGTACATAGTTGCATCCATCAATGTAAATAGTCATACACTAATCCAATCATCTATAAAGGCCAAGCGTACTAAGAAGGTCGGAATCACCGGTAAATATGGTACTCGTTATGGTGCCTCTCTCAGAAAGACCGTAAAGAAGATGGAAATCACTCAACACTCTAAATACACCTGTACCTTCTGTGGTAAAGATGCTGTCAAGCGTACTGCTGTTGGTATCTGGAAGTGCAAGGGCTGTAAGAAGGTCTTGGCTGGTGGTGCTTACACTGTCTCGTAAGTAGAATTGCAGATTAAAAATGTATATAATTGACAATTTTCTAGTACAACTGCCGCTGCCACTGTTCGCTCTACTGTTCGTCGTCTTCGCGAACTTGCTGAAATCTAAGCGATTGACAGTTTATCTTGGCATATATAAAATAAAAAGAACACAGTGTATATATTCAATACATGTTCATATCAGATTCGACCCTTCTTTCTCTCTTTTTGCATAATTACAACAGCGCAGAATATGACAGAAAAAAAAAGTTTATTAGATCACATTGACTCCAACATGGTGTTGAATTCTTCCAATTGCTCTTTTAGTTCTTTGTTCTTGACTACAAGCTCTTCATTGGTCCTGTCCTTTTCTTCCAACTTTTGAGTCAATTGTTGAATCTGTCTTTCATATTGCTCAACCTTCACGTCCGACTCACGAAGACTATATATATGTATAGAATAAGGTACCCATATTACACTGTTTCATATATACACATACCTTTTTGTTGTCTCTCCAAGGGCTCTGTCAGAGTCCTCTAGTTCTTGCTCAAGTATAGAAATCTTACGCATGGCATTATCATACTCCTTCTTCAAGTCACTTCCCTCTTGTTCATTTCCTTTTAATTCCTTAATTTTTTCATGAGCAGTTTCTAAATCATCTTCAAGCTGTTTGTTTCTGTTTGTTAAAGAAACAATCTCTCGTTCACTCTGTGTTTGTTCCTGTTCAAGTTCTTTAACTCTAGCTTCTAAAGCCTCTGCCTTGGCAATAGCAGCATCGGCTTCAGCACGAATGGAGTTAATTTTCTTTGCGTGTAGGGATTAGCTTAGTCTTCCTATGGGCTTCCAACTGTTCAGTTAGATTACCTCGCGAATTTTTTCCATTAGAAGTATTAATCAAAAGAAGTGAAAAAGAAGGGTAAATAAATTTTTTGGCGCTCAACTAATTTGAAGCGTGTATTTATTTCAATAAAGGGGTTGTGGCATGAAATGCGTGCAACGTACAGGCAGAATATATATATATATATATATATATATATATATATGTAAAAGGGGATTATACCAAGGGAGACGCAGGGATGTTTGATGAAGAAATGTTTGCACCTTTGAGAGCAAAGATATCAGATTCAGCACATAATTGAAGTAATAATTGCCATTCATTTGCCATCTTTGCTATTACATCCTTATTACTCCATAGCTTAACTCTTTGTTGAGAGCTTGTAGCGATCCATGGCAACGATGGTTTGACTCCTACTGAAATCTGGGTATTGACAATAGAGGTGATTGTCTCTGCATGTAGCATGTGTAGCACATTCTCTTTTGGCAAGTTTGAACTTGGCTCTTGTTGTTTAGGACCAGGCGCTTGCTTTGGTGAATGAGGCATGTTACCCTCTGTCTCTGAGAACCCTGTTGGTGAATGCACAGATAACGCAGGAGAACTAGGAACAGGTGGTATATGGACTGACATTGACGGACTCGTATTGCTAGGCTTATTGGTCAAATGGAGACCAAGCCCAAATGTTGGTGAACCTTCAACGTTCATATCAACGCTGGTATCTTCTACTTCTTCTATATTTAGCTTTGGAATAGTGATATTCTGGGGAGAGGTGTTGTTATTGCTTTGATTGCCTCCGGTGCTACTGCTCACACTACTAAGATCAGCACCCCAGCTTTTCCAACGGGTATTGTCATGAGGAAAATTAAAGCTTGCTCTTGGGCTATAAAATGAAGGTTGATAGTTGCTACTAGTATTACCAATCTGATCCAGCTTTTGGTATATAAAGTCTTTTAAAAGGATAAAGAGCGGACTACGGAAGGATACAATAAATTCCAGGAACCTCCATGTAGTAAAGTCATAAATTGTGCCCACGCCAACTGTTGCGTTGAAGGAAAAGTTGGCCCGAGGATCTGATGAAGATAATGGATTACTTGTTGCATAAGGAGATAATCCAGGCGTTGAAAGACCAAGGGGCGACAAAACAGAAGGCGAAGGCATGAAAGGGGAATGAGCATCAGTTGGAGTACTGACATTATGTTGGTCTGAACGGCTGCTTTTCGATCGAAGAAGTTTTAATGTCTGGCCAAATACTAGAGTGTTTCTTATAAAGAATGCGATTTGAGACCACGATCCTTTGAGGTCATTAAATGTAGCTCGTCCTCTCACCAGAACAATCTTGATAGCAACCAAACAAAGTGAAAATAGCACAGCTAATGACTGTGGCGTCTGTTTCCCATCCTTTGTCTCTGGAATATCTGCTGCATCGACCCCATCTTCCGTATTCGATTGTCCCATGGTAGCTAGTTGAGAAAGGGAAAATCCAGAAGATTTGCTTTTCAAAAGAGAGGCATGACTGCAAATGTTAGATAAAAAGTTCAACAATCTCGTCCAATTGTTTGCAGGATTAGGTTTAAATGCACTCGACATGCCTACGCTACTGTACCCCCATTGAAGATTATACTGAAAACATAGAGGAATGATGATACGGCCGATCAACTCTACTGAGGGTGTCTGTCGTTCAATTTCTGTAAATACATCCTGATTAGAGTTCTCAAGGATCGCGATAATCAAGCGTACCAGCGAATTGCAAAATTTGGCATGGTCGCTTTCATTATCCCAGCTGGTTAATGTTGCTACTGTCAAGCCAAACGGGATAAATCTATCCTTGATGACTCCAGCCATATCGTGCATCATGATCGCTTTGCCCTGTCCCTGTTCGAGCATGATGGCTAACCCCTCATAGAGGTCAGAAGCATCGACTGCTTTCCACTGTGTACGGTACTGTACGTAGATCTCGTTTAGTACTTTTTTTAATGACTTGGTGTAGTTCCTAGTATCGACCATGGAGTGCAAAGAGTCTACAAGATAATCCTTTATCCAATCAGTTTTGATAGTCAGACCCTTGATACTGCGATAGTCACGCAACACCGTACGTATGATCTGTGCCATTTTTTCGTGAGATGTTTCTGATAACCTTCCTCCATGCTTCATATAGGTATGAACTAGCGTGATAAACTCTTGCTTGATGGTAAACCTATCGTTCTGCTGCCATTGCTTTCCATAAGCATTTTGCGCAGAATCAGTCTTAGCCCCCGTTCGGGCGATATTGCTTAGCCCTTGCTTACGATCACTTGAAGGTACGCCTTGGTATTCTCCTGAGGCAGTCTTTGCATTTGTAACTATCACAGGCTTTGCCGTTTTACTAAACTTTACAAACACGTCAACCAGAGCAGAAACACCTTCTTGCAATATCTTCTTTAAACGCGATAACTTATTGAATGATGGTATCAGATGCGTAAGCAGTTTAACAAATTGCTCTGCTCGAAGAGAACTTGGATCATAGGCAATAACGGTAAGGAACAACTTAATGAAGTCTTCTAGCTTAAATGATCGACTGCTATAGCTGGTAGTCTCTATTTGTCCCATAGGTGCCGTTGCACTTCTTGCTAGGGGCTTAAAGATCGCCGCTGGTAAAGGAAGTGATGTTGGATTGCTGATCGAGTCGATCCGATCTTGAATATCTCGCTCGCGGTCGTCCAGTTCAAGCTGTAATTGCAAACCTAGTGTATCAGGAAATGAGCCTAGCTGTGGAGGACGGTCCATGACTTGGATCAAGGTAAATAAATTTTCAGTCATCCAGGAACCAAGCTCGTTTGACTTTTCGTATGCTGCAAGAACAGACGGAACTAGGGATCCCAGCATTTGGAATACAAAGGCTTCTTGATGAACAGCGTAGAACCTGCACCAGGCAAGGGCAATTGCAGAGGTGACCTGAACACAAGATTCAGATTCACAAAACACCTTGAATAAAGCAGGGAGAAAGATGACATAACCCCTATTTGATTTGAACAGACGCTTGAATCTTGTCACAACGCGAGTGTACAGCACTAGTGCTTGGCTGATGATGCCAAAGTCATGGTTGAACTCGGTTATGATCGAATTAACTCCTTGCAAAATCCTTTCAAGCTCGTCTCGATCATTATAGTTCTTGTTGAGGCCGTTCAACAGAACGTCTATAAAGCGCAACCAAGCACGAACGCGCATTGATGCAAGCATTTCTTTATCAATTTGATCCTCTTGTGTTTCTTTGTGTGTATGATGCAAACGGTGTTTCTTACTACATGATATGTCTGGATAGTATGTCTTTTCAAGAAAGTACCTTGGTTCTCGCTTGGAACCTGGTATCGGCATTGGTTCGTAATCCTGTAATGTCTTCTTTACAGCATATACTTCTCTAGGAAATCGCAAAAGGTAATTTGTGAGGAATTGAATATGGCTGATACGCAGAGAAGCAACAGAGAATATTTGCTGAGGAATTTTGAGCACTGTGAACGAATGGTGGCTGCTTGATAAATATCTAGGAAATATATCCATCGGCTGTTCATGCGTGAACCAGAACTTTCCTGTGCTTACTAACAGATGCTCAATCTTGTTCTTTCGCAAGTCTCGAATCGCCAGATCATTTGTTGAGAGAGTCAGCTCAGCCAGGATAGGATGTATAAGCGTCATCAAGACAAGACCATTCTTTTTGTTTTCTCTGACAATCCACTTGAGCATCCCAGCCAAATAATTAAACAGAACATTTGTAAGTCCAGGAGGCAGTTTGCGTTGTAGGCTGACAATATGGTGTATCTGAGCAATGATATCCGTGGGCATATCTGCCTTGTTTTTTCCCAAGCTGTTCAAGAACGCTTTCAAGAAATAAGCAGGGTCGTCTCTTAAGCATTGTTCTATCAGCTCTCGCAGCGCGTTTGATACACTCGCGGAATTATCTGTCAATAGATTTACTACTTTTAAAAATATGGCTGTAAACGAATAGACAGACGCCATCCTCTTCTTTCTTGCAATCGCTTTGCTGATGTTGACTATTTTTCCACGCTCACGTATGACGGCTATACCCAATTCATCTTCCTCATTTGTCCTTTCGTCATCCTCTTCAAGAAACAGCGAGGGTAATAAACAAAGGGGTGTCAAGACCTTCTTTAAGGCCTCATACTCTTCTCCATTATCATCTTCATTCCATCCCAATTCTTGTATTTGTCGTTTTAGTTCAATAGGCAAATTGCTTGTATTCCTCAACTTGGACATCCATCGAGGTTCATCTAACGTAAATTCGTTGCTTCCAAGGTCAGTCGGGACAAAGGGTGTCGAAAACGTCCCACCATCTCCACGAAAAGGCTTGTTGTGAGATGAGACCTGAATGAACTCTTGGTTGAGCACATTAAATCTGAAGCCCATAAGTGAAGACAGTTTTTGGATTTCTGAAAGCTTAATTGCAGGGTCGTCGCTATAATATATTCAGTTAGGATCTTCGTAACTGCTTTATTTCTTTATCTTACCTGTGTAGGCATTTGACAATTACATCAACCGTCACCTTGGGTATCTTTTCACCACATTGCATTAGCAAAAATACAGCAGGGACGTATGAGGCAGGTCTTTTATCGTTCATATGAACTTCCCATAAGATTTTAACAAAACGCTCATACTCTTGTGATGATATCGTGGCATATACAGCTGCCAACAGAGATAATACTGATCCAAAGGCATCCTGATTGAGTTCACAAATATGGTCAAATCTATACTTTGCTAGTTTAAAACCAAGACTGTTGGTAGTCTCTCCTTCTTCATGGCTATTTCCATCTTGAACAAATTCGGGAGGATCCAGATAAAGGAATGCGGCGGCTGAGCTGTTCATGCTGTATATTGACTGTACCTGCCGATATCTTTGATGCCTTGGAACTTGTGATATTTCTGGATTTAGCAAACCGGGTGTTGTCTCCTGTTGTTGCTGTTGTGTTCTCCTACGTATGTTATCCTGTAAAGCACTGTTTCTAAACTGTTCCATTACGTCCAAGAACGCATTTTGCATTCTCAGAAACATAACGGATACTTTGCTGATCTGGCTTGCATCAAGTAAAGGCATATGGCCCATGGACGAATCAAATTCGGACAGAAGCGTGCTTAGTGGTGATGCCGGAGAGTTTTGAGTAAAGATATCTTTGGTCAACGGCTGTGTGGCCCAGCTGATGACACAGTTCAGCCATCCCGGTCGATGTGTCGTATTACAAAAGAAGCGAATGTTCAAAAAGATATTACAGAGAATTACCCGCAAAGGCAGTGGCACGATCACTTTCTTTTCTTTGGCAGTCAAGAACAATGCCAGTCGCCGTTCAAGGTCAATCAAGAATTTTTTCGCAATCTCGTCTTCTTCCATGTTTCTTAACGGATCCTTTTGCTTTTCTCGTAACTCCTTCAATACCCATACAAGCTCTGTTGCAATAATACATTGTCCTAGCGTTGTGTTTCCCCAGAAAGTCTGAGGGGCGGGGATGCCGTCGTTAGCCTGAGAGGAATTGGCTTCTCTTTGTGTCTTGTTTGTTCCGACGTCACTCAAGAGTAATACGTTGATCATTTCTGCATCTTGCATCCAGAATTGAACCCCAGTAAGGTAGTGTCGAATATGTGTAATAAGTTTCAACAAGCTTGCCACCTTCTCATTGTCGTCTGAGGCAACGCAGGACACAACGGGCTTGTAAAATATAGGCCTGAAGGTTTTTGCTATTTCATGCAGCATATTACAGAATGATGGTGTAGGAGGCGGTGTTGTGTCCACTATTCTCTTAAACAGTGTTTGAACTGTCGACTTTGCTATCTCTTGTCCTATAGCTGAGTCAACGTGAAAGAGTAAGGCGTTGTATACGTTTGCTAATTTATCCGCGTCAATATCTTGAATCAAGGCTTCTGTGCATTTTAGTATATAGCCTTTGTAGCCAAGGTTCCATAATTCGATCAAGTACGCCTTAGCTGTATCAAGTAGCTGTACTATAGACTCATCTTTAATTGACAGAACCTCTTGTTCTTCTGTGATGACAGGAGAGCTGATCAAGGGTGACATATCATTTATGGACGGTTGTGGGCTTATGTTCGGAGACACGCTTGGGCTCATCAGTGGAGTTACTGGCTTAGGAGAGATCGTGTCGCAGTCTATCGATAAAAAGCACAGCAACATAGTGACGAGATTGAAGATGACAGACTTTTGCTTGCTGTCCGTGGGCTGGTCACCTATGTGGCTGCGAAGTTTGGAAGGGGCAAGATTTTCCAGGATAAACATGAGTAATTGGGATACAGTAGATATATTGACCTGTTCCATAGACAAGGACACGTCACTTGCCAGTTCTGTCAGTAAAAATAAAACTTTCCAGTACGCGGGCAATATGCTTGTATCTGGTTCAATCCAGTATCGCTGCACAAGTTCCAACAATGAACCTATACTATGATCATCGTATACTTGATCAGGCTCTTTGACAGAGTTTGTCTGCCTGCAGACGTTGGCCATTAGACATTTGCATAGTGATTCTAGAACGCATATTCTTGCTAAAGATCTAGGCGCAGCTCCTATCACTTGATAGTTTGAGGTCCAGTGATCGTCTGCGACGGACACAAGTTTTCCTTCTGACAGCTTATCCAATAAATCGAGTACACTAGAACGTACGAAAGAACTATTATTCGCAGCCTCTTGGGTATCCAGTTTGGGAGTGTGTCTGTTAATGATATATGTAAATGCGTAGACTAATGACTGAAACGCAGCTGGTGATGAAGGTAGATAATTTGGGAACTCAACACAAGGTTCAACTAGATTGTTCAGTATACCAATAACTCTTTCCTAAAACAAATAGTAGAGTTTAGATATAGCAAGGGAAAAAAGAGAGGAAGGGGAACTTGAATACTTTTAAGATGGTATCGCTTGAGCTTAGAATGCTACAACAAAACAAGACTTGCTCAAAGTGTTCCTAAAAGAAAAAGAAAAGAAGGGGGGAAAAGATGTTTAAAGTTTCGATCAGCTCACAAGTAAATGTTTATATCAAGATGAGCTTACTGAGGAATCTAAAAGTTTAAAACGATTTCTAATGTAGTCAAACGTATCCAGCGCTTGCTTGCAATCCTCGGCTGCATAAAATGAGTTAGGGAGTAAAATTAACATTGTCGTGCTTACTTTTCTGAGGTTTTCTATCAAAAGGGACAAAGAGAACAGCCAAGATGTCACTTGAAAAGGGTAATCGAGTAGCTGATTTATGTTTTTTCATAATGTCCATAATGGAAGTCATATTGGCGGATATTCTTGTCACATTCGATGCCTGTTCAGACTGTTCAAGCAGTTCATCCGACAATGTTGTTGAATATCTTAAAAATTTCGTCTTTTTGCTTGCCTTTACTGAAAAATTATTTAATTCCTTTTTGACAGCTGCATTATTATCAATAAAGCTTGCATCCTGAGATCGAGTGTTGATATGACTCAATATTTTCTCCAAGTCTCGCTCAAGTCTGTAAATATCTTGTTGAACAGCAGTTGAAGTAGCATAGATTGCGCCATTATGTCGTCCAGCGCCCATCTTTGGTTTAAAGCCTCGTACAAAATTGGACATGCCTGCTGCTTGAGCAGCTACGAGTGTTGTATTAGCCAAACTCATCTTGTTATGATCAAATCCGTTCTGATTTCGTAAAAATGGGTTGTATGTTTGCTTTTTATGCATTTGTGGTATATTTGACTTGGGAATATTGGCACGAGAGGGGCTGGGTGAATCTGATGTGAGAATGGAGGCGTGATGAAAAGCATCATTGCCAAACTCTGTAATGTTTTCACGGATCTTGTCCCAAGCCGAAAAATTCTTTGTTTTCTTTTCTCGTTGTTTATCTGTCAACTGTTGTTCTTTATTCTTTGTTGATTCATGACCTTCCTGTGACATTTGTCGTTTATAAAAAGAAATAATACAATTGGAAATTTTGCTGGCAAATTAAAAAAGTAACCTCAGCTCGATTATTGATCTGCCTCCTTCTTTGTTAAAGTATAAAAAGGACAAAAGTAACAAAAAATATCTAGAGTAGTTTATTAAACACCACCTTTCTTTACATTAAAGAAGCTCTTGATAACAAGAGTTTGTAATACAGCCATTGAGATAATAGCAAGGCTTTCCAATAGAGAGAACCAAAACATTCGACTTTCTGTAGAAGCAACAGTGGCCGCATTACGATTTTCTCTTGTACGGAAGTATCTCTGTGTACGAGCAATATTTGTCAAATCGCCTGACAGTCTAAAGATAGTTTCTTCCATTTCAGTGAGAGTTTGAGGTTGTTCTTTTCCAGATGCATCCTTTTGGAATTCAGGTCGCACTTCATGTTCTACGAGTATTTCGAAATCAATAAGTTTTTCAGCAAAGGTTGACATTTCATTGGTAAAACAAAAAGAATATTCTCCAACGTCATTGGCTGTAAAGACATAATCTGCTTGTTTTTCTTGTTGTCCTTCTAAAATAACATCGTCTCTAGGTCCTACAACTTCATAGTCAATATCAAATGAACCACCTTGTTGCACCTATGACTATGTTATTAAGTGTTTAAAAATAAAAAGCAAAGGTTACTTACAGCAAAATAGAAGCCAATCTTCTTTCCTGGTTTATCTGTCATTACATAAAAGCAAGCCTTTTCATTGGCAGCAACGCTATATGTCATAGCTGTTGCTTCTGAACCAGATGGGAGAGTAACAAGCGTGAATAGTAAGCCCAAGAATACACTAGAGACTAATGAACGAAAGAACATCTTGCTTTGACACGTAAAAAGAGAAGTAAGAAGAAGAACAAGCTTGAAAGTTGTCCTTAATAACGCTGTTTAAAATAATTTTCGCCAATACGGTGTTCACACTTTTAGTTTTTAAACTCATCTTTCTGCGTTTTCATTTTTTTTTTCTCTACGCTTCTGCTTTTATTATGCTTAAATTTAAAAAACACGATTCTGGTATAAAGACTCTCTCTTTTTCTAGACAGCATTCAAATCTGATGTGCATTTAATGTAGAAAAGGAAGAATCTTCTCGAAAAGAAGAACGCTCAAGAAATAGATCACGTTCCCCTCAAAGAAAAAGTCGTTCACCTGATCACAGAGAAAGACGTCGAAGTCGCTCACCTCGTAGACATGACGATAGACGAAGAGATAGATCTCCTTATGATGACAGACGAAAGGATAAATATGACGATAGACGACAAGATAAACATGACGACAGAAGACGAGACAGGTCACCCGGTAAAGACAGAAGAGATCGCTCACCTCGTGAAGAAGAAAGAAGATCTCGCCATAGGTCAAGATCTCCTGAGGATAAGAAAGAAAAAAAGGAAAAGCCTACGTCTGGTGAGAAGGTAAGCTTTCTTTAGATTATACAAAAAGGGGGAATCATACAAGTTAATCATATAAATCAGGTAAGAAAGCTTACCAAGAAGAAGGTAAGCTACAACTTGATCGAAGTAGAAGTCAATGATCGATTGGGCAAGAAAGTCCGTGTCAAATGTGCACCTAATGATACTATTGGGGATTTCAAGAAATTGTTAGCGGCACAGATCGGTACAGAACCAGGCAAGATTGTATTAAAGAAGTGGTATAAAGAGTACAAGGATCATATCAGTCTAGAGGATTGTAAGTGTTGATATATTAGTCATTACTCATATAATTAACATGCCCGATAGATGAAATACATAATGGAATGAATTTGGAATTGTATTATCGATAAATCAATAAACATCAACTCATAACATTCCTTTTTTTTAATCAAGATATTCAACCACGTACAATTTAACACACGAAAACTATATAATTAATAAAGAGATAAGTGTCATGACGTGTAGAATACAATGATTCATTGCCTTAATAATCAATACCCATGAGCATCTGTTACTTTAAATCTTTAGTCTTGGCTCCGACTCCTCTTTGGTTGTCTGCTGCGGTCAGATTGGGTATTTGAATACTTTAGAGACAGTTTTGCTTTTCACAGAGATACTGCTTTAGAATTTCATGTGTCGCATATTTAGGCTCTATGATACAATTCATACGTAAAAGAGACACACTAATGCCTTGTTTTTTTTTTTTTTTTGCTTATGAGAGACCACGGTTATCAGTCTGTCATTTGCTGCGGTTGTCTTGCTTCATTGTCCAACAACCGCAGTGCACAGATACTCTGTGACTGTTTCCTCATGCAATATAAAAAAAAAGTTTAGTCTGCATCATGATAACATCACCTTATTTCTTTCGTTATGTATAAAATTCCTCCATCAAGAGGCAGCGTGCCCAGACGCTCAAAAAATGAAACTGAACAAGCACCACCAATATCATGGTCTGCTAAAATGGAACAAGCCTTTGAAACTCTATCAGAGAATAGAACAAGGTAAGAGAAAAAAAAGAGGGAGAGAGGGATAGGGGCCTGTGTACTGACGCATCCGAGTATAGTACTCGAGAAGAGAGTCTTGAAGCTATTGTAGACGCATTCTCTACTCATCATGTGTCCTCTTATATTGACAACAGACATGAAGAAGTACTTGGTTTATTAAAGCGATCATTAAGCAAATACAATAACCCCAAGGAAGCGAGTTTGGCTGCAAGAGCCATTGCATTGACATTTATCAATTTGGACGATATTTCAGAAGGAGACAGTGATAACTACTATAAAAGAATAGTTCCCTCTTTGAAAAATGCAATCATGGACAGTGAAGAAGTAGACGTCAAGGTGGATGTAAGTTGTCTTTTGTGTGTGTGTATAAAATTGATTTTTAATCCCTTTTCCATATAGTGCTTGCATACACTGGCATTAATTACATATATTTCTGCATCGGATGCTGATACAAAGATCACAAGAGACTATATCTTTGATCTTATCGAAACTGAAGGCGCCGAGTTTAACGTAGAAACGTTATCAACAAATGATAAAGATAGCTTTATAGCCGAAGCTATCAAAGCATATGGTATCCTCTATGCTGCTTCCTTTTCAAAGGGTTTAGTAGACTTTGACGCACTCTGGGAAGAACTTGAAAAGTAAGTCTATCATCAAAAGAAAAAAAAAAGATCATGTATATTCATTTTGAAAAAAAAAAAAAAAAAAGGGTCATGCCAATGTACGAAATACTGCTTGAATCATCTGATAAAGACATTCGTATGGCAACAGGAGAAAACATTGCACTCATTTTTGAGACCGCTCATGTCTTTACGGCAACAGATGAAGAAGAAGAAGAATATGATGAGGATGAAGTAGTAAAACCGGAATATGAAAACATGAATGAACTCGTTCGTACACTCAAGGACCTATCTGTGGAAAGTAATAAGCGTAAAACAAAATCCGATAGAGCAGAACAAAAATCAATGTTTAGAGATATCCTAAAAAGTGTTGAAGAAAATGTCAGACCAGAGGAAGAACTCAAGATTGGCAGCAGGATCATTGTGTTTAGAGGATGGAGTAAGATCTTGGTGCTCAATGCTATTCGAAGAACCCTTGGTCAAGGCCTACAACATCATCTCAAAACAAACTCATTACTCAAGCAAATCTTTAATTACTCAACTGGTATTTCTTCTCAACAAGATGACGAAGATGAATCTGAAGAAGAAGAAGAAGTCCTAAGCAATGTCGATAGACGGTACTTCTATGACGAGACAAAGAAAATAAGATCAAAGCAATTGCGCTTGGCTAGACTTGGAAAAGAAAATGCATTGGTGTAACATGATTCTTATCATTGTCATTCACGTGACACAAGCCTAAAATTGCCCCCTTCCCTTCGCGCCCTGTCATCCCTTTTTGCTAAATAAACATATATGCTCCGTTCCTCCATAAGATCATTGTCTCTAAAGAGAGTATACAGCTTTACAGCTTCAGCAGCTATTAGATCGCGTGTTATAGTTCCTTATAAAAGGCATTATAGTGTGGCCAATGTGACAATTCCAGCAACACACAAGAGATCATTTGGTCAGCCTACGTACATAACCCATCCCAATTTAATGAAAAAGGGACAAGGTAATTTGTACAAAAAGTAGACCTATTAGCTAACACTGGGTTTTTACTAAAGTGACGCCTGGATTTACTGCCGATGAGTTCGAACAACGAAGATCGAACCTGATGAAGACATTACCTGAGGATAGCGTAGTCATAAGCTTAGGATACGGCACTCGCTACATGACAAACAACATATTCTATCCGTTTCATCAAAACACTGACTTTTGGTATTTATGTGGATACAATGAACCTGACGCTGCATTGATACTGGGTAATACAAATGTGAAAAAGCGTATGATTTGCAATATTGACAGATATATATTATGCGCAGAAAAGAACAATTCTAAAAAAGGATATAAACAAACCATGTTTGTCTTGCCAAAGAACGCTCATGCAGAATTATGGGATGGACCACGCACAGGCATTGAAGGCGCAAAGGAGATATTTGGAGCAGATGAAGCCTATGAGAATACCAAATTCATAGCCTATTTAAAAAAGGCCATTGGAACATACAAGCACGTCTTTATGGACAGCCCTGGAAATATGCCTACATTGATCTCGGATGAATCCACAAAGAAACTAATCGAGACTGGTACGTTTTGGGGAAAGCTCTGGTTTAGTTTAAAAAAGGGTCATTTCCCTCGGATAAAAAGTAAAAAAATAAAAGATGCTAACATCATTCCCCCCAGGTCTCAAGATTCAAAGTATATTGCCACTAAGCAAAATAGTCCAAGAGCTGAGAATGATCAAGAGTCCAAGCGAGATAGAAACAATGAAACAGTCTGGGTTGATCAGTTCAAAGGCATTTGTAGAGGCAATGAAGTGGACAAAGCCAGGAATAACAGAAGCACAACTTTGGGCAAAGTTTGATTATGAGGTCAGGATGAGAGGATCAACCATGTTGGCTTACGTCCCTGTGATTGCTGGTGGACCCAATGCTTTATCCTTGCACTATGTCCGAAACGATATGGAGCTGAAGTAAGACATGATCCTACTGTTATGACCATACATTGACCCTCAAACGATTAGAGATAATGATCTGGTACTAGTAGACTGTGGTGGTGAATACAATGGATATGCAAGTGACATCACTCGTACATGGCCCGTCAATGGCAAGTTTACTGAACCTCAAAAGGAACTCTATCAGGCTGTCTTGAATGTCAATAAAGCCTGTATCAAGTTATGCACTGAAGCAAATAGTGTCTCTCTTCATGGTATCCACTCACAATCTGTCAAATTGATGAAAGAAGAACTTCAAAAAATAGGATTTAATGTGACAGGATGGGTAAGAAACTCAATGAGAGAGAGACATTATCCAAAACTAACATTCAATACAGGATCTCGAACGAATACTCTATCCTCATCATGTCGGACATTACCTTGGCTTGGACGTACATGATTTACATGATTTAGATAGATCGCGTAAATTGAAGCAGAATATGGTTATTACCATTGAACCAGGTATCTATGTTCCATATGACAGCAAGTTCCCAAGTAAATATCATGGTATTGGCATACGTATTGAAGATAATGTTGTGATTGGAAAAGAAGAACCTTATGTGTTAAGTTCGAATACACCCAAGGAAATAGTCGATATAGAATTTTGTTGCAATAACCATTAATACTACATGTCACAGACCAAACAAAATCAATGTCATATTTTTAGAAATGAAGTCAGAAATTTTGCTTGCTAGAAATCAACATTGTGATTCTTGGCACCCGAAAAATATAGAGAGTGAAGAATTCTTTCTTCTGACACTTTTTCCTTTCAACACCTTACAATTCAACATGAGCACAATATTTTTATATAAAGATGGACATGGGAATATTATTGATGAGAATGGTGGTCCTGAGCCCATGGGCTACATTGTTGAGACTATTGCCACTCACACAGAGTACTTGAGAAATGCAGCCCCCAGCGAATCATCTCTGACTTGCCCAATGTCATTAGAAAAGCCAAAAAATGAAGATGTTCATATGAAGGAGGCAAAACCAAAACGGGACTATGTGCGTTATACAGTCCAGGATAAAGCTAGGTTTTTCGATCTGAAGATTGAAAAGTGTATGATTGCATCAGCTGCAGCAAAGCAGTTGGGCATTCACGTTCGAACAGCTTATAGATGGGTTAGCCAGTATAGTGTGTGCCCCGACAGTATTTTTGAGAGCTGTAAAAAAGCAGGTCGTAAGTGCATCTTAACTAAAGAACATAAAACGACTGTTATCAACTTCATTGATGCTAATCCCTCTGCAACTGTTATTGAAGTGACCGAGTATTTATTGAAGCAATTTCATAATCTTAAAGTATCACGCAGCACTGTTAATAACTTTATGAGACGCGAATGCAATCTTTCGTTGAAAAAAGCAGACTTTCACTCTATTGAGAGAAACAGTCCAGCAAAGGTTAAGGAGCGGTACAATTGGGTTTGTAAATGGGAAAATACGGACATGAACTTTCTGACGAATTGCGTGTTTCTTGACGAGTCTGCTTTTGATATAAATATGAAACGTTCACGAGCTTGGTCAAAAAAAAAGGTGCTCGTGCTATTGTCACCAGACCTACCACGAGAGCAAACACAACATCTATACTGGGCGCTATTTCTGCTGCAGGATTGATTATAATGGGCGTAAAAAAGCCGAGACCTGCAAAGAAGAGAAAGGCCGATGGATATATAAGCTCAGGGATTGTAGCAGGCCACTACATTAGTTTCTTAAAAACGACTCTTGATGAGATGGACAAACATCCACATATGAAAGGTCACTATATTGTTATGGATAATGCACCCATTCATACGCATGAAAATATAAAAAAGTACATTGAGTATCGAGGATACAAATATGTGTACCTTCCTACCTATTCTCCAGAGCTTAACCCAATAGAGCAATTCTGGGCAGCGGCAAAGAGTAAGGTTAAGCGCCACAGGTTTTTGCAGGAAGACACTTTATTCAAACGAATCATGGAGGCTTGCAATAATGTGGAGAAAAGTTATTTCAATGGTTTTGTTTCGCATTCTTACAAGTGTTGGGATAAATGTCGAAACAAAATACGCATGTAATGGTTAATAAGTAAAAGATAGAAGAAAAAAAAGCTGCTCAACAGCTGCCCATAAGCTAAACACTTAAAACTGGAACGCGTATACTAATTAATTAGAGCTAGACCACGGAAACCAGTTACTAAAGAACTACCATTAAAATATGATGTATTTGATGATAGGTGACGTGGGAACCAAGGTATTGGATGTGCTCATGAATATTTTTAAACAAACTCACATCCCCTCAAGCAATATGTTCAAACAACAGATGAAAGATGACCTTTTTTCCCTAAGTCTAAGTCTTCTCGAAAAAAAAAAAAAAAGACTTTAATAAAAGCCACATAGAAAACGTGTGTTCACTGGTGACTCAGTGGTTATAATGACTGGTGATTGATTTTCTTTTGCGTGATATTCTTTGGTCGATGGCTTCCAGAAGCAGATGGTCGCGGAGGGTTGGTGGATGATCGCCATAATCATGACTGTCGCAGTTGAGAACATAGTTAAAACTGGCAATGATGTTGCAGATCTTGTTCAGTTGTGCAATAAAGATAGGAATTTCATCCAATGCCAACGGAAGCTGGACATGTTCAACTTCAGACATGGTGTATAAGTGGTATTGGGCACGACATAAGAGATAAAATGTGGCGTGGTTGCCTACATCTCAAAAAAATCTGTAAAATCATACTATCAATTCATTCAATGATGTAGCAACGGTACCAACAACAATGAATGCAAACGTGGCTCTTGCTTTGTGTTTGTCTGAGGCAATTTTCGCTAAATGTGCAACCCGCACTAGATCCAATCCAACCAGACGATGGTTAAGTGCTTGGGTTTGCGGTTTTACTTCACCACAGCCGAGCCTTCACCCCAAAGAGGTACCACGCACAATGTTGATTGAGGCATCTGGTCGTATCATTGCTGGTTTGTCATCATCGCTGACCGACGTCCTATTTATATGAAGCAAGTTAGATCATGGATGTCGAGTCTCCTATCTTTTCGCATTGTTTTTCATCAATCACTTCTCTTCCATTGCAATGCTCCACATACCACCGGAAGATGACATCTTTGTCAATATCTTCAAACAATGGCGCCAGACTTGATTGAAAATGCCTTGTAATGAGCTCCGTTTTTTGTGGACCTTTTTCAAAAACACGTCGGGGAAGCGTCTCCACCCTGCAGTATCAATGAGTTAGACCGTTCTTATTCCAGTTTTCTGAGACCTACATGTTTCTTACAGTCAACAGGATCTTGTTAGTCGAATTCATTGTATCACCTTTCAATAATGCTGTGATTTGACGGCTGGCATCGAGTCGCGAGCAGGATCTTGTTCCACTGGAAGCATTCTACAGCAGTCGATGAAACCATCATCGTTATTCTCATCGCTAACCTATTTTCTCTTCTACTCAAACTGACATAGAACTTGCCATAGACACAACAACGGCCACCTCCTCCACAATTTGTTCAAGTTTTGCCTTTGTTACCGCGGGAAACTTATGATGAGCGATGCTGTTGCTTGTCAAAATGTGCGCTGCTAGAGCATCAAACGTATTTAAACTAATGTATTCATGCAGGTCGGCGTGTGTACGAGCTGGTTTCAAAAGTAGGATGGGCGGCAAAGCGAGAATGTGTTGCACGTTTTCCTCCAACGTTAAATGCTCTTTGCAATCGATTTTTCTTTTGATGGAGAGCTGAAATTCGTGAAATCTGGCGGATACATCGGTGCCCATGAAAACCAATTGATCGTTATCAGCAGGCCGAACAAAATCCAAAGCAAATATGGTATCATCAGATGAAGAGACGCTTGTGCTGGTTGCTAAGACATTTGCGCCAGCATTGTTCGAGTATGTTGTATTCAGCTTTAATGTTATTGAAAAAAGGCTATTAAGTCGATGACTTGCGAATTAGATTCTTTATTAAGAAGAGCTGAATATTATTAATTTAAGCTTGAGTGAGAGTTCACTTGGGTAGAGAATCTATGACCGCTATTTATATTATTGTCGTCACTGACATTATTTATGTTTATATTATTACTGTTATACTAGTAGTTACTATAATTGTTATTATAAGTTATTCTTATCAGATGCGGTAGAGGAATGTAAAGTAGAATGTATGCTCTACTGTAAGATTATACTCGAGTTATTATGATGATTATCTCATCGAACACGCCAATACTTCTTTATGTTTTTGTGCGTGTGAATGGACGCATTATCCATGACTATATAATGGCCTTTCATATGCAAATGCGTGTCCATTTCATTGAGAGTCGTTTTTAAGAAACTGATGTAGTTCTCTGTGACAGTTCCTGAGCTTATATATCCATCAGCCTTTTTCGTCTTAGCAGATCTTGGTTTTTTCACGCCAACTGTAATCAAACCTAAAGCAGAGATAGCGCCCAATATAGACGTTGTACAGTCATTTCAGAAAGTAAAGTAGCTGATTTTGAGTTTGATATCGTGCAGAAAAATTGCATGTTCAACAATGATGTCGACTGATCCAAAAATAAAGCCATGCTCACGTGTCATGAACTTCATTTATTTTTACTTGACATGAATTGTTGTTATAAAAAAGGAGACGATTTTCTGTGTCCATTTTACTTTCTTCTTCCTATTTACAATTTATTTTACAGACATTGAAGATGAGTATGCAGTTTTTTATGAAGATGGACAAGATCATGTTGTTGATGAAAATGGAGTTGAGTCCATAGATCTTGTTGTTGACGAGGAGTTATTCGCTATCGAAACAATAAGTTCTCGTACTCAGTTTCTCATGAATAAACTTCTGGAAAGACGCTCTAATCCTATCGTGCACCCAGCTGCGGATGAAAAGAACAATGATGTTGATATGGAGATATGCAACAAGCGACGCTATACTGTTTACTCTGATGAAGACAAGACTAGATTTTTTCATTTATTTTTCAGCAAATGCTTGAATGCTTCTTCGGCTGCGAGCCAATTAGGTATCCATGTCCGAACAGCACAGAGATGGGTCAAACGTTATTACGAAGACCCTAAAAGCATCTTCGAAAAGAAAAAAAAGTCAGGTCGGCGTCATATTCTTGGAGAAGAGCATAAGCAGTTTCTTTTAAATTACATTGATGAGAATCCTTCTGCTGTTGTAATTGAAGTGGCAGAAAGTTTAACACAAAATTTTGCGGATCTTAATGTTTCTCGTAGCACTATTTATAACTTTATGACAACTGAATGCAGTCTATCTATTAAGCAGGCACAATTTCAGCCTGTAGAAAGAAACAGCGAAGAAAAGATTCAACAAAGGTACCATTGGGTACAAAAATGGCAGCAAACTGACTTGGATTTCACAACAAATTGTGTCTTTCTTGATGGGTCAGCCTTTCATATCAATTTGAAACGAGGTATGGCCTGGTCAAAGAAGGGAATTCCCGCCGTAGTTACAGTGCCTACAACTAAAGCGAACGCAACATCGATTTTAGGTGCAATATCTGCAACTGGTTTAATCAATGTCAGTTTAAGAGTTCCAAAACGCATTAAAAAGAGAAAGATTGGACGTCCAACTGATGGTTATAGCATAGGAATAGTGACAGGGCATTATCTGAGCTTTTTAAAGGCTACTCTTGATGAAACGGACAAGTATCCCGATATGAAAGGACATTACCTTGTCATGGATAACGCTCCTATCCACAGCTCAACTGATTAGGTAAGTATATCAATCCTCGGGGATATAGGTGCGTATATCTTCCTCCGTATTCTCCTGAACTAAATCCAATTGAGCAGTTCCGGTCAGTCGTCAAGAGTAAAGTTAAGCGAAATAAGTTTTTGGAAAGAGAATCGCTCATGACAAGGATTAATGAAGCATGTAACAGCTTATATTTTAGCGATTTCCAAGGCTTTGTTTCTCATTCTGCTAAATGCTTTGACAAGCGTCTCAACAAAGAGAGGCTATAAAATATTCAATACACAAAAAAACACAAAAACGCTCAACTCAACTCAACTCAACTCAACGCAACTCAACTCAACGCAACTCAACTCAACGCAACTCAACTCAACGCAACTCAACGCAACTAAACTCCGCTCAACTCAACTTAACCTCAGCCTCAACCGCAAGCGAAATTTCTGACTTCATTTCTAAAAATATAACATTGATTTTGATTGACTGTGACATTGCTTGTTGGAAGCACTGTATTTGTGTGTATACTATGTAAATTACTATTATTATTTGCGAATAAAGCTGAAAAGAGAGACCATAATATGCATATAAATATATATATATTTATTTATTTCTATTATTCCCATTTTAACCCTTTTTATTATATATAAATGCAGGTTAGATTATCATAGTAAACATGTATATTTTTTATACCTGAATAGACTCAAATGAATTTGCTTTGTGCTTTGGTACAAATTTAAAATCTTCTGGTGCAGGACCAAGGAAAAGTTCGCTAAGCTTAACCCAATCAGACGCGAGAGGGCTGGCCATGAGTGTTTCCAGATCGTTACGTCCTTGGAATGGAGGTGGTCTTTCATTCATACGTTGAGGAGGTCTTTCAAGGATGCCAACTGGAATATATCTGTACAAAAATGACTGCCATTCACAAAAGAATCGTCGAGTGATGTTGACACCTTGACTATCTGATCCCCAATGTTCTAAACCGTAATCACAGAAACGCTTGAGCATATCAAATCTCTCATTAGCAGAGATATCATAGTGTCTCTGGTTTTTAATTTCATCAAAAATCCATGGCTTGATGAGCGCACCTCTACCGATCATGACACCATCCACACCACTGATTTCCTTGCAGCGATTGTAGTCTTCAAAGCTCATTATATCTCCGTTACCGTATAATGGCATGCTATTTGTCAACTGTTTCATCGTTCCAATGTACTCCCAATCTGCCTTTCTGGTGTATCTTTGTGCACGAGAACGTCCATGGAGCTATCACATAACAATAAGTTATTTGTTATATATATACATATTTTTAAAAGAAAGCTTACAGATCCTAAAGCAATTCCCTAAATATACAAGGTGAGATGTCGCGAAGTAGTGAAATGGTCATATTTTTCTTACCAACTCTTCAAGCTTGGGTACAACTCTGTCAGCAATTGGATAGTTGTCTTTGATACCCATTCTGAACTTTGCCGTGATCGGAATATCAGTCACTGTCTGCATGCCTCTTAATATCTTAAACATACGACCTCTAGCATCTAGCAATGCTGAACCAGCGCCCTATTATGTGAATTAGTAACAGATCCCAGATCAAATAGCCTCTTCCTTACTTGCTTAAACACTAAATCAATAGGGCATCCCATGTTTAGATCAATGAAGTCAACATCCACCTCGTTATTCAAAACTTCACAAGCCTTTGTCACTTGTTCAACCTTTGATCCACAAATTTGAATACCAAAGATATCTTCAGATTTGTGACGCTTTGTTAACGCCCATTCGGATTGCTGACCTTGTAGTAAATTGAATGCGAGAGCCATTTCACCACAGGTGATATCAACTCCATATTCTTTACAGACTCTTCGGAACGGTAAATTACCGACTGTTGTGAGTGGTGCAAGGTAAGTTTTGTTTCTGAAATCTATAATCTAAATCATTCATATGAGATATCATCCACATGTCAAAAAGGGAAAATATACCTTTTTGTATTTAAGATCAATAGGTCCTATAGGCTTATCTTCTTGATTTGTGGGTGCTTCAGCTGCTGCTGGTTCAATGCTGACATTTGTAAACTCGTTAGAGGCATCAAAAAATTCGTCGTCCTCGCTGTCATTAGATTCATCAGACTTCTGCTTTTTGATCCCCTTTTGCTCTTCGGAAGATGATTGAAGTTTTCGTTTTAATGCATTGGCGTCCTTCATTGCCTGTTCCTCTGCAATCTCTACTTTCACTGTAGCCATATATGCTTCTGTTCTTGGGAACTTGTACTATATCAAACGGTCAGTCCCATGTCATCCTTTTTCTCTCCCTCTCTTACTTTTGAACGATTCAATGCAACTTGTGTTTCGTGTGAGATACCATTGATTGTATACACATTGTTCTCTGCCATCTTTTTCTCATCTACAATCAGTTTTTTATTTTCATCCATATGTGCGCTCAAGAAGCGACATTTATAGCCATACGAACATCTATTAAAGGTAATTTTAAGTCCCTGGATATATATATATATACTCTTGCTGCCTCTCTTACTTTCCAAATAAATCAAAATTGACACATCGATTACCGATATCAGCAGGCTTAGCGGCTAAATAAGCTTCAAGGTCATGAGAGAATCGACACCTGGAAGAAAGAATATAAATAATCATTCATAAAAGAAGTAATGTTCTTTACTTTTCACCAATCTTGCATTCTTCATCAACAGCCACGTATTTACAAAGTCTGACACTATCTTCAATACGCTTTTTCCCCCTTTGTCCTTTATTAGCACCACGAGCATTCTGTTATGCATAGATACAATTATGTAATACATTTAATATCATTCATATTTTCTGTTCTTGCTTTTTACCTTTTGCTTCTTGGGTTCGATCGTAGAGGCACCTTCTGCTTCGTCATCATTGACAGCTGTTTCAGCATCGCTAAACCAACGTTCCTTCCGGTACCTGTATAAGGCATCAATTATGTATTCTTTTTTTCTCTCTTTATGTTTTCTTATTACTCTGGCTTAATAAGTGCTTCTCCTGGCTTTGGTTCACTCATGATCAAGTTGCTGGATAAGATGAAGGGTAAGAGTTGAGAAAAGGAGATGCAGTCACTCTTGTCAACCTTATGAGAAAGTACCCAGCCAATAGAAATTTAGAAAGCAAACAAAAGCCACAGTGACCTTCCGCTTGTAATGCATAGTGTATATATTTCAATAAGCAAGAGAAACAAATATTTTTATTATATTGGGGGTATATGATTATAGATCTAAGTGGATTCAAGACATTTAAGCAAAACTATTTTATGTATTAATGTGGTACTCCATAATCCCAAATCCTAACATCTCCATCATCTGAAGTCGAGATGATCTTGGTATCGCTTAAAGCCACAGCAGTGACAGGTCCAATATGACCTTCGAGTGCGTGCATGCATCGACCATTACTTAAATCCCAAACACGAATCGTACTATCATGAGACCCACTGACAATCCTGAGCGTATCGTATGCCAAACTCCAGACACCTTCGACGTGACCAAAGAGGGTACGAATGCAGTTTCCTGTGGCCAGGTCCCATACCTTGATCGTGTTATCAAGTGACCCTGAGATAATGATGGGGTTATCTGTCGTTGTCTGGGTCGATCTCTTTTGTTCTATACTCCTCCTTCGATTCTCAGTCACTGCACATCCTGGTTGTTGCGGGTTTCCACGTGAGAGTGGTAAATCATTCTGTGGTTCTTGTTCGACAAAGTTATGAGAGAAGCACTTGGGACTGGGCAATGCAATCTGCACCTGTCCGACATGGCCATTCAAGACACGAATACATTGCCGCGTCTGAAGATCCCAAATGCGTACTGTTGCATCGTCGCCTGCCGAGACAAGGAGCTGATCATCCTGACAGAATCGCACGCAGTTGACCCACTCGGTGTGACCGGTCAGGGTACAGCACTCGCCAGCCAAAAAGTTCCACACCCGAATCGTGTGGTCTGTCGATCCGCTTGCCAGTAACCTTGAATTGAAATGCAAACTCAAAACACCGCCGGTGTGACCCTCGAGCGTACGGATACATTGACCCGTCTGCCAGTTCCAAATCTTGAGTGTGTGGTCCATCGAGGCCGTGATCAGCTTGGCTTCATCAAACTGGAGCGCACGTACGCATCGTGTGTGCCCGGTGAGAGTTCGTAAGAGTTCACATGTTTCTAGATTCCAGATACGGACCGTCTTGTCGTAGGATCCTGTCATGACAATATTACTGCTATCACAAAACTGAACACACATCACTCCATCCGTATGACCATTCAAGACTCTCGACTGATATTTGTTGTTGCGCCAGTTGCGCTCGATCCGCAGCCGTTCCGAATACACTTCTTTCCAGGGTCTTCGTCGCACGATGGGTGTTGTAATATGTGGTGGACTTATTTCTTTGGATGATACGTCTACCTTGACCTTCTTGTTTGTATCATCTTCTATTGTTCTTGATCCACAGGCCACACGTAATGGCTCTTCGCTCGGTTCTAGTCGTTTCATCGGTACCGTCTTCTTTTTCTTGTTTAATAATGGTAAACCCCAGCCACACTTGGCACATTTCTTATCAATGTGCTGTTCACACATTCGGTGCCACACCGCTTCATCATCCGCCAGCTCCTTCCATGCCTGAGATACTTGAGCGGCGGTACAGAGTGATTTTGCATCCAGATATGAAAAGATCTTGAGTGATATCTCATGAGGTAAGATGGCTAAAAAATCAATTCGAACCAACGGCTTGATTGCGTTGTATAGAAATGAAAGTTGGGGCATACAACAAGTCGAAAGAAGACCTCGAAGGATCAAGATGCGCTGATCTGGAGGTGCAGCAGAGAATATGGACCAAATGTGTGTAATGGCTGCTTTATCTTCTGTTGGAAGTTCTTCTAGTTGCTAACACAATAAAAAATTAATGAATCAGAGGCATAAAAGGCTGTTTACACTACTTTTTGTGTTTGTTCAAAATCGAAATTGTCAGGCTGTCGTCGTTTAATGAGATCAGGTCTGTGTCTGTAACATAGCTTTTTGCTATTTGCTAGTTGTTCAGGAACATGTCTCGACAGAAACTCTTTAACTGGAACTTTTTCTTTTTCCTTTTGTTTATTATCAGTTGTGTTGCTCATTTGATAACAAGAAAAATAGAGTGAGAAAAAAAAAAAAAGAAAAGAGACTTAAGAATCTTTTGAAATTTAAACGCAGCACAACAATTGCTTCACAGTTAGAACCACTCTGTTGCATCCTACATAAAGAAGGGTAAGCATTATATTAAACTCTATTGATTTGTTATACCATTATTGGCTGTTATAGCAAATAATTAGGTCAATCATACTTTCTATTGTTTTATCTTTGCAAGTACAGGGCATCACTATGCTTAACACCACACTCGTTACAAGTATAGTTTTGACCACAGTTGCAAGAGGTAATAGCAGTGCTAATCCAGTAATTTTTCGTTGATTTATATAGCATCTTCGAAAAGAAACTATGCTATCCTCTTTATTGTTAAACAAATCAGGATATATACATACTTTATCTCTAGCTACTCGACTACACCGAAGAATGGTGCGTTGATAACACACATAAAAGCTGTAAATCTCTTGTTGACTCTGATTGCGACGCTTACGAGCTTATCATCGCTATTAGAAACAAAATCACTATGAAAGGTGTCCTTGTGTGTTTCTGTGTCACTGATAAAGAAGCTATCACCACTCTTGCTGAGTGGTTTGCGTGGATTAAGAGAATCCCAATTTGAAAGTAAAACGAGTAATTATAGATTGTAGTCAAACCGAGATATCAATAATTTCTCTACAAATATTTCTTTATATCATTGGCATATCCATAGATGGATTCGTGAGAAGTCCAGACAATAATGTAGCAATTAGTATTATGAAAATTGGATTGTATACAAGCTGATTACAAATGATTTTCAAGGGCGATGAAGAAAAAAAAACACAATAGATGCCTTAAACTATTCGATAATTCCACACAACCTGTAAGGTTGATGTCGAACTTTCTTTCTATGTGCTGAGAGAGTCTCGGATACTCTTTTCGGTTTTCTTTAATTTATACACTTGCTCCCTTTATTTTGATGAGCTTTATTATTACTTGATAAATTAAATTCATTCATCCATAAAAAATACTCTTCTCGGTTTTCTTAGGGGACACCATACTCCGGACTCCTTGAATTTTAATAAGGAAGTTATTATTATTTTTGGTAGTAATATTTCTTATAGGAACGCTTATTCGAATATACTTCTTAATAATTTTGACATATATAAGTAAGAGTAATCATTATTGAAAATGAATACAAGCTTATCTTAGCTAAAAGCTAATTTCTTTCTTCACATATTCAAACTGACGTCTAAGTATCATCTGCCAAATTTGGTAGTTGTGTCCCTGAAACTTTCATGCAAATATAAGCACTAAACTTCGACCTATGAGATATCTTAATAAAACATCTGACTTGCTTTCTTTTGGTAGTTTGCCCCTAACGATTTCAATGCTTTTTGTACTCTTCTTTTTCTTGTATTGTGAAATTAGTATTCTTATAAGACATTACAACCAAATTCGGCAGATGATACTTAGACGTCAGTTTGAATATGTGAAGAAAGAAATTAGCTTTTAGCTAAGATAAGCTTGTATTCATTTTCAATAATGATTACTCTTACTTATATATGTCAAAATTATTAAGAAGTATATTCGAATAAGCGTTCCTATAAGAAATATTACTACCAAAAATAATAATAACTTCCTTATTAAAATTCAAGGAGTCCGGAGTATGGTGTCCCCTAAGAAAACCATTTAATCATATTACATTACTTTACACATATTTACACTATCTAGTTGGTTAAAAAACTAATCCGCATTTCAGCTTATAGGCCCATATATAGACATATAAGAGGCACACAACTCTTGCCTCCTCTTTTTTTGACGTTTCGCACTGTTTTTATTATTAGAATAGCTTTCTTTCTTATCAAACTTCTCTCTATCTAATATTGTTGATACACTTAATATACAAAGTTTTCTATTACTAAAGCATTGTTTACAAAAAAACTCGCATTTATTATTTATTTTTAAAAAAAAACTCATAGTAACAGTATGAGCGAGAATATATTACTTAAAGATGGTAAGCTATGTCAATATGAAAAGTAAATTTTTTGTACACAATACTTACAGAATTACCTCTGTTCCTTTCCTCGTTTTTCAATATGTTTAGAGGTTAACTGGTCGTCATTAAATTTAGCTGATGACAGAAAAGAAGTGAGCTGGCCTGTTGTACTTGATATGAAAGAGTTCATTGTAAATCACTATGATGGAAAAGGTTTGATTCGTGAGCGTGGCGATTGGAAGCGACGATTGAAAGCAGTAACCACAAACATGGGATTCAAAACTGTCAGATTCAATGAAAATGCGTGGCAAGCTATCCACGAAGCGTTGATAATCCTACAAATCTTCCACAGAATCTAGTAATTGTCGTGTTTATATAGATCATGTATCACATTTTTTATTTATTCATCATCTACTAATATAAGACGTCAGATATCTGTAGTCGTCATCCCTCGTATATATTCGGGTCGTGCCCTCATTTAATCGCTTTTTTTTTCCGAATAAAACAGCAAATGCTGTCAATTGACTCTTCACTATTTTACAACTATATAAGCACATAAATGCAACAACAATTCAAACTACAAACTTTCAAAAACAGAAAAAGACCGTACAATAGTCATTTATGATAATACGGCCAAACACGATTTATGGGTCTTGTATACCGATATTGTCGTAGGCCATAAGATGAAAACACTGCAGAACTTTCATCTTATGAACATCCCATTCACTCCATGATAATAGATCCTGATGAGCAGGTTTGAAAGGATTAAATCATTCAACATCAAGCTTTTGAAGAGTGTTCCTGAAGAACTTCAATCCTATTTGAACTTATACGACAAGGAGTGGCAAAATGGACTCGATCTGTATGAATTCGCAGATAATATGAAGCACCATCCAATCAAGAAGTTTGAAAAGAATTGGATCAAAGAAAGTATGATTGGAGTTTTCGAGCTGTTCCTTTATCATCAAAGCTTGGTACTAAACGATTACTCTGAATCAAATCTCCTTCACCAACTTTGGCGACTCATCTACAAGATTAACTTTTAACAATTTCAAACTACGCAAGAAGAAAGTTTTAGAATGGAAAGCAGATGAAATTAGGATTAGGAAAGTAGCCGCGATTCCATCGATGAAGCAGGTTTCAGCGTGCATATTTATAGAAACTTCGTGTCAAGGTATTGCTTCCTTCGAACAGAGGCATCATCGTGACCATAATTGGTGCTATCTGTGAAAAAGGAGTAATCAATTTAACCTTGCTTAAACCGAAGGCTGTTCAGAAAAAGGTTATCGGTTCCAAGAAGAGAAAGAGAGAATATAGAAAAGCTGGGGATGTTGAAATACAGTGTAAATTGGATAAGACATTCTTATTCAATAGGTGCTTAGCTCTCGAAGCCGATGCTTCAATTATAAAAAGTAAAAACACTACCCGCAAAATAAGAAAAAATCATCCGCAAAAAAATAATGTTCTAGCTGTTTTTTCTTGGGAATTGAGGTACATCAAATTTGCTCTTACAAGCTACATGCATGTTCATATTGACAAAGGCATAGAACTCTAAATCACTGAATCATATGAATAAGAAGCACTACAAGATAGTCTATCTATATCAACTATGAACCATGATGTAAGGAAAAGCAAGTATGGAGTAGATCAGCTTTGGTTTGTGTACATAATTAATTCAAAGATATACTCCTAAAGGTAAGCAACTATGCAAAAATGCATACTCTTGACATCAATCATACATGTCAAAGTGACCCATGTTAATCTTGGTGGGTTTCATCAGAAAACTCTAAATGGAAACGGAGTGCAACTGAAGAAATACATCGATCCAACGTCAATTTTTTCCCTTTTTATAACAAGATATGCATTTCTTCTAACCAACAAAATCATTTCGTGTATAAAAAAGACGCTTGCGATTACGTATTCAGAATAAGCAGTAGCTAAAACGCGTACAAATAACCAAATATGGTAATGACACGGTCAATATGACGTAAAATGATGCTCAATGTTCATTTATGCTTTTTATAAATTTCAATGCTTTACGTACTTTTCTTCTTTTTACTCTTGTAACTTTTTTCAACCATGACATTATATTATACTATCGTGTTTGCTATTTTAATAGCTGAGGTAAACAAAGCGATAGAGTTAATTTACTGATTACTGATATATGCATGCATAAATTTATAGATCTTTACTTTCTTTTTGTTGATGGTAAAGTAGTGCAATAATATGGAGAGAATAAAGACTAAACCTTTTGATCAGCTTCCTATTTCTACAAGATGGAAGAAACCCGTGTTTAGATGGTTGGCCACTTCACCCACTGTAATAAATTGATATTCTAAAGAGAAACAAAGAGACTTAACTGGCATACTCATAATAGGTTGCACACGCAAGTTATATTCTTAAAATAGTCTTTGGCTTCATCTTTGTTCTCTTCATTGGTAAGGAGTAATAGCATGTTAAGAAGATGGTATACCAATACGTGCCATTAGATTCTGTGAATACCCTTAGAGCATTTTATGAAGTAGTCCATGAAGAAGAAAATGTGACACCTGGAACATCAGATTTTAGGGCGCAAGTTAATCAAGCAGCCAAGAAGTTTTACGCGCAAAGAAACCTCTATCTCACAGGTTTTACTATGCTGCTATTACTGTAAGTAATTGCGTCATGGATTTCACTTTTTTTCTAAAAGATTATAGTATCCTCAACACAATCAAGACCATGAACCTTGAATATATCAGATTGGAAGATGAATGTCTTGAATTAAGAGCTGCTGTAAGACAACAAAAAAAAAAAAAGTATTATTAGGTTTACTTATTTTCAATAGCTTTCAAATGATCCTGATGTGAAGCGGGCGGTTCGTGAAATGGATACTGAGCCTATCAAGGACAGAGTTACTAAACTAGAACCTGTTGAGCAGCCTGAAGAGAACAGAAAGGATATTTAAATAAAGTATTAAATCTTGTTAACCTAAAAGATAACTGAATTTTAATATAACTGTGGGTCGTGTCTACCACAATTGCCGCTGCCTCCAATCCGACCTCGGATGTGGTAGCTACCCAGCTCTGGTATAGAAAGCTTTTCTAGCTACCATGGCTTCCTCATCCAAGAAGTACGCATAGAAAGATGTAAAGAGTATAGATTACAAGAATTTTTTTAATGTTTTTCTGAATAAAGCGCGGTAAGAAAGCCTATAACCACATCCTCTGTCGTTTTTTCGGCAGCATTGTTATTCATGTTTATGCTGTATTCCTTGGTTTTTCTACATCCTTTTAAAACGTTACAAGGAATTACAAAAAAAAAAGTATATATTATGTCTATTATAGTTATCAAAATTCATAGCATATTAGCCAACCATAAATAAAGCTATCAATATTGTGTAGAAAAACCCATTTAAAAGCTATAAATATTTCAACACTTTATTTCGTCCGCTGCTTGGGACCAGGACGGCAGTTAAACAGCTTCAGATCATCTACATTGTTTAGCAATTGTTCATTGTCAAACACCTTGAACTTATTTTCGTAGAAAAATGCCTACAATTACTTTTTTTATGTCGGGGTGCTCCCTACAAAATCGTTTGTTAGTTTCTATCTAGAATTCATACAATTTGTATTACCTTAAGATATGCTTCAGATCAGTCATATTTGTGGTGAACCCGGCGTAATCAACCTCAACCACGCAAATGTTCTTATTCTTAATGAAACTCAAGAAATCTGTTTAATTTTTCAATATTTGCCTATCTTTTTTGTCATTCTTTTTATCTTGAGTATTTCCTTCGACATTGATTAATTCTGACAGGATATCATTGGCAGTTAGGTCACATTTTTGAAATGCTTGTTTTGCACCACTACAGGGAGAGATAAACACTTTGCCAACAAGTAATCTTTTATAGAGAAGATTAACTACTTTTTGCAATAACATTATACGATTGGCACTTGGTGCAGTTGATTTTCTGCAGTACCTCACAATAATATTTCCATCCGCTTTAAGTTACTTTATGAGGGAATGATGTGCTGGAATGACACTCATGATATTGTCCAGAGTAACACTACATGCACCAGAAAATACACCAGAAGTTAGATTAATTCTACGGGCGCTACCTCTATCCATTACCTATGATGCCTTCTAACAAATCTTTTGAATGTGGTGCCGTGCTAAGCATGGCTTTATAAAGTTACCGACTTGTTTTGTTTGTTTTCAAGAAGAAAGAAATAAAAGAGAAATACTATTATTTCTGTTTATTCTAGTTTTATATTGGCAAGTACTATCAACAAAGAAGCAGATCAATCACGTGAAAATTTCACTAGACAGTCTTAGATTACACCCTTACTTACTACATTATGTCAGTTCATACCTAATCCAAACAAAATACTTCCCTTTTCGCACAATTTGGAGACTCAAACTATATGCTTGACGTATGAAGCTGAAACAAGCAAAAAAAGAAAAAAGGAAAACTTTTATTCCTGTAATAAAATTATTATTATTATTGCTTCTTTCATCGTTGAATATTGTAATACGACGGTTTTAGACTACTGGATGATTTATATGACTTAAAGAAACCATTTACTTTCCCTTCGTTGTAAATATCTTTCCATTCTTTTTTCTTTTTCCAGGCTGGCTGGAATTCTCAATGAATTGAGCACCTTCCATGGTGTATGTAAAGTTGCTCTGTTCTTCTTCTTCATTATCATGTTCCAAATCTCTTTGTATTTGTTGTAGAAGCAGAATTCCTTTCTTCTGCGCAAACTAAAATCTGATTACTGTTACTTTTAAGATTTTCGCAAAATTTCTTTTTGCTTTGTTTAGTTGCAAAACAAAGCTTGGATTCTTAGAATTTTTTTTAATCTTCTCCTATTAGAATTGTATTTGCAGTTGAAAATTGTGATATTGTCAATGAATAAATGGTTTCACCTCAGAAACATAAGAATGTGGTAAGATGAAAAAAGAAAAGAAAGAGATTTATGGCAAAAAGGAAATTGATCTCTACATGCAAGAATAAATGTTGTCAACCAATTACATCTTGTGAACTGTACAAATAGGACGCGTCATCAACTACTGCAACCTACAGATGCCATGAGTTAGTGCTGTGGGCTTAATATAAGGTATTATGTTAATATTTAAGTTGACTTTGGCTTGTGTACGAAATATATATACTGATTATGTTACATCAAAGAGTGTAGTCTTCTTTGATATAAATGTAGAAATACGACAACCTAGCTGTTCGATACTTTCAACAGAAAAAGGACGTTGGATCATCGATACTAGTGTCTCGCTTATCCCTGCTCCTTTTGACAACAGCAACACTATGCAGTTGTGTGTATAGATGTCCGAATATACTTCTAGGTTGATTATGTGACGCTTATCACGACGTGTTTGTATCCAAGACCCTTTTTCTTTTCTTTATATTTCCACTTTTTCACACTTTTGTTCATCAGCTTGACATCCAAAGTTCTTAAAATTTTTGAGCTTTATACTTGGTATCTCTAATAAAATTTACGGCTATTCATACCGAATATCGTTGACTTCCTTTAATATTTAACCATCATGAAATCATAGATTGTTTGTAATACCCCCCTTCAACGTTGAAAATATCCATAAATGGATATTTTAAACACCCTAAAAGGAAAGCTTTTTAAGCTTTAATACCCACCCATCTTGGCAACCATTTTCTTTTCTCTTTTCTTTTCCTATTATCCACCATGACTTCCGAAGATTTTGAAAGTACCAAGCCATTTGAACCTAAGCACAATGATATCGAGGAGCAAATTCAAAAGGACGATGAAGTCAAGTTGATGCGCGTAAGGACTATCTTAAAATTGCAGAATGCATAATTCTAAACCAAGTGTGTGAATAGTCATTTAGCCAAATAATCGATCAAAGTACTTCACCTGAACATATTATTGGTGGTAAACAAAAAAAGAGAGAGATAATAAATGGTGTATCTTATATATATTTTATTAGAGGGTGGTATCCATGATACAAGCACAAAGGTGCCAACGCATTGGTATCGTCGTAAGTTGACAGGCTGGATTCATTCTCATCTCGTGCCTGAGGGATTTCGAGTCGCTGTAGAGAAAAAGTACGGTAATTTTGTCATCATTCGCTCAGTAAAGTATCAAAGTAAACAAAAAAAAGTGTGTTACTTATTTGGGTCTAGACGGGTGAATATCATTATGAAGAAATGCCTATTTATACCCGAATTGGTATGCATTTACTTTTTGGTGGCTATTACCGAGGCAAAGGTAATTTTTTAGTTTTGATCATTTGATGGTATATACTCAGAAGGGAGGCTTAGTTGTTGGTACCAATCTTATGCATGAACTCTTTACGAAGGAAAGTATAAGACAAGGCATCTACTTTAATAAGCCAGAATCTGTTGGGCAGATAGCTAGCTTTGTTCAGCATTACCACATCGACATGAGTGAGTACGTCTTGGGTATTGGTGAGTACAAGAGCTTTAATGATTTCTTCACTCGCGCCATTCGTCCTGAAAAGCGTCCAATCGATAGCCCTGAGGACGAGGTAAAGATAAAAGGGAGGCTCGATACACATTATAACATCAATATTAGTCAGTAGTTGTTTCATCAGCGGATTGTAGATTGAACGTATTTAATTCTGTTAGTGATGCCACTGAACTATGGTACACAAATATAAAATATCATAGAATGTACGCGTATTTCTTATTCCTTCTTTTAGGATCAAAGGCCGTAACTTTAATTTGCCAAACCTCTTACAGAACAATGATTTGGCTGACAAGTTGGATGGTGGATCCCTTGCGATTTTCCGATTGGCTCCTCAAGACTATCATCGATTTCACATGCCTGCTAAGGGTACCATCAAGAGTATTCAATCAATTGAAGGAACTTATTACACAGGTAAAGAAAAAAAAGAAGAAAAAAATTGAATAAGACTCATGTTTTCCAATATAGTCAATCCTTGTGTCGTCGAATCTACTGTCGATGTCTTTACCGAAAATCATCGCTGTGTAGTCACTGTTGAAAGTCCTTTGGGATTCACTTATGCTATTGTTTGCATTGGTGCTCTCCTGGTCGGCTCCGTCGTCTTTACGAATGCTTCATTAGATCAAGGTGAAAAGACATTGGAAAAGGGTGAAGAGATGGGATACTTCCAATATGGTGGATCCACCGTGATTGTCATATTCCCAAAAGACACTATCGAATGGGATGATGACATCTTGGATCATTCCAAACAGTCCGTAGAGACCAAGGTGAACATGGGAGAACACATTGGCCAATTCATCATGTAATAAACTCTTTGTGTGACTTGGATGCTGTCTTTTATTTTTATCCCTTTTTTCCCTAAAACGGAGACAGTAAAAAAAAAGTAAAAGAGAGAAGAGAGAAGAAGAAGGTGTGTAAGTTATGTTTTACGTTCTTTTCTCTTGAAATTTATTCTTGTTTATATTTGCTTCCATATAAAAAAGGAAAAGACACATGGTAATGTCAGTAAATGTTTATAAACGCACACATTTATAGAAAAATTGTTTGCTAAACACACTCATTAATGTAGAATGAAATCTCGCAAGAAATAAAGATTATATGTCAAAACAACATAATCAAGGGCAGTGCTAGAGCACCTGACAGTCACCCTTGGAGAAGTTGGAAAATTAGATTAGTAGCAGTGGACCATCAGAGAGAGAGAAAGGGCAAATTATCTCATCTGTTAGATCATGTAGAATATGTTCTTCATCCTACCTTTGATAACCCGATTCGATGTAAGAAACTCATATGTCAAAGTGACAGTCGTGGTAAACCCTATTATTAGCATTTTCTAGAGAGCCCTATTTATTACAAGAGAAGGGTTGGGGTGAGTTTGATATGCGAGTGATATTATACTTCAAGAACGATTGGGCAGAACCGGAGAATATCTTTTTTGATCTACACTTTCGCGAACCTTCATACGCCATTCTACATCGAATAACCTTTTATAATCCTCCTATGCCGCTCCTCGGAGTGCTCGCGCTCGAGTTTGCGCCCTCAGATTCTGAACCGACGACAGGGACAGCAAAGAAACGACGAACGAGTCCGTCACTGGCAAAGGCCAAGACCCTATATGATGATACCTCGGATTATAAAAGTGTGCAGGACACATCTGTCTCTACTATTGTCGATGATGTGCTTGAAGAAAAAGACGTGGATTCAATTGATCCGATTCATTCTGCGCAGCTAGATGAACATACCAGAAGGGCGTGGGGTGTGCCCGAGCATATAGACATGAGCAAGCTGGCTAAACGGCTGATGACTCTCACAAGTGAGCAGACAGAGGAAGTAGGGTCAATCCTAAAGAATCACATATTGGAAGAAAATGATGGTAAGTTTCAATGTTGCAAGAGAAAAAAAAACGTGTTTGACCAAAAAAGCTTATAGAAAAGTTTGTGGTCGATCTTTATTCTTTGGGACCAGACCTGATAACACAGTTATGGGATATTACAGAGAAGAAATCAAAGTCTTCAGCGGCTTTATCCCCATTTTCACTAGTCCAAGCTAATACTGTATTCCTGGATGATTAAATTCAACCTTTTATTTATGTAAATAGCCTTTTTTTTTTTCGTTCTATTATAAACCAACACGGAATAAAACCTGTTTTCCTTTCTTTTTCTTCTTTTGTTTACTATCACTTTCATCTTGTGAGTCTGTGTCTGTGCTTAGCGTAGAAGAATAAGGCTCGTTGCTCCAACGGTTATCATTCTTTTTTCGAAGCATAGCGTTAATATCGGCTCTTCTAGATGAATGTGTTGAAGATGTGGGTAGTGCTGGAAAAAGGTCCTGCAGATTTTGTTCTGATCCTGTACGCGAACTCGCTGCTGATGAACTCCATGGTGAAGGTTGAGTCAATCGAGTGGTTGGCAAGGGTGGGAATGCACCGGCGTCTCTTGCTGCTAAGGCTACTTTACCCCATACACCTTTATTGGATACCTTGGGTTTCCTTGGGTTCACTGTGAGTACTTGAGGTGCTGCACTCTATAGCAACAGAGGTGTAAGCTAGCATTTCGTATAGGTTTATTAACCATACCGGGTTCTTTTTATGGTTCCAGACACGCTCCAAATCTGCTTTTTGTAGGTCATGATCGATCATGTCTTTTGTATGTTCTAGCACTTTACTAGTCAACTTCATATCTTTGTTACAAAGCTCATGTACAGAATCAACAAAGGCCTCGCTTGTCAATGTCATTTCTTTTGTATATTGATTGATATACTTTCTAAATTGTAGCATTTTATCTAAGTTTCTAAGAGTATCAGCTACTCGGTCTAAGGCAGCTGCTTGGCGTGATATAATCGTCGGTTTGCTCGGCTCGGGAGTGGTGGCCGAAGATGAAGGTGAGGATCTACCTTCACCAAGACTTGGCCATTCTTCTCGGCCAATGAGCTGAAGAGACTGCATTCTATGGGTGACTAATGGCACAGCTGTGGTGCTACCATTGATGCTTGGGAAATCATCTTCTATTAATCTGATCTTACTGCTTGTTTGCTGTTGATTATGTCCACTGGTACTACTACTGTTACTACTAGCATAATTCAAATTGACATCCACACGAGCCT